ATAAAAGGAATGGAAAAGTATGTTTTTTGTTTGTTTTGTTTGAATCGGATAAGTGTTTTAGTTACATTAAAAGTAACCATGAAAAAACTAAGTAACTCGTCAGTTTTAAGTGGGAGGACAGAATGAGAAATAAAAAAATAGCTCAGATACCTCTTCTGAATCTTCATCGGGAAACAGATAATCGTCTTAAGCTATTTGATGTTAAGGAATAAAATAGTGCTCCAAGTTCATTTTCTTTTTTCTTTTTTGCAACACTCACATACATGCAGAGGACTTAATTTTTTTAATATTTATTAGGGCAGAGAATTCGTGTTTTGATATTGCAGACCTAGTGCCTTCCCCTAGAGCTGGTATCTTTTCTTAGCGCAACACAATATAGGTGGGACACAATTACAACAATTAATTTTTAAGCTCAGTTTCCTCCCCAGAGAAATGTCCCTCAGCTTTGACGATGCGTAACCAATCTTAGGAAATTATTTTGCAGAGAGCACCCAAACCAAACAGGCACTCAATTGATCTTTTACATACCGCATATCCATACGACATGGATGCTGTGTAGTTTCTGCATCATGAAAGTCCACCATCTTGTATCTTTTTCGAACCTGCAACCTTAGGTGCACAAGGCCAGCGACTAACCATCCATTTATTTTGCATATTTAATACAATTGTAGTATTTTGATCTTTATAAGGTTAACCTTAACAATAAATTCATCCTTTTTCGACATTTGTAAGTTAACAGATTTGATTCTCGTATTTTTGTTGTATTGCAACATTTATAAATTTAGCAGATTTGACATTGGTATGTTCGTTGAATTAAGCAATTGCGTTTATATATATATATATATATATATATATATATATATATAAAAGATTTAATAATCTTATATTCATTGTTTTGCAACAATCATTAGTTTGATTGCTTTAATATATTTGTACAGAGCGTAATTTTCCTATATTAGAAATATGTTCCATTGTATTGCTAAATGAACTAAGAAAATTAGATTAAATTATGACCACCGAAACCGGCATAGTGGTTAGTGACTCTGACTGCTGTGCCATAAGGCATGAGTTAGGTTCCCGGAGAAGAAACGGATGTTTGTAAGGGTGTACCACCTGTGCAGAATGCGGACACTTCTTGAGAGGTTGGTGAAAGGCCCCTGGAAATCCTCGAGGGTGTTTTTCAAAACTGGGTGGGACCGAACCAAATCGTACAGTCATGTATATGGACCCACAGCTGCGTCTAACGACTGACGTAAAAATAGCACCTTAACACAGTGCTTTTGAAACTTTCGATATTTACGACTCAATATCCAATCATAACTTTCATTGAGGTCCCAGTCCATACAATAACAATGTATTAAATTCAATAATAGTACTATACTTTGATGCTAAAGATACAAAACGACTTTAACCTCTTAAGTGCCACTGGCGTGTATAAACGTCTCACTCAGTCAATACGTTAATTGCCCCAGAAATATATGTACGTCTTTCCGAAGAACGATCTTTTCTATGCACTGCTATCCATAAAATTATTCCGAAGGCCTTGGAATGTAATAAAATGACCTTGGCATTGTTTGTGAAACATTGCTTTTTTTATTCTTTTTCTTTCCCCACCCCCTCCAATACATCACTATACATGTTTCTAAGTAAACGGAGGCATTGGGGAGCGAATCGTGTAAGTTTTAACTGGCAGTTAAGAGAATAATTACAAACTGTACGTTATCAAGATAAGTGTTAATTTTTGTATATATTTTCATGTATGACAAGCCTATGAGGTCACTGGTAATTATTAAACTTGTTTTTAACTTAGTATTGTTAAATTAATTATAAATAGATTATCGTGCAGTACTGATACATTTATAAGTGCATTACATCAGTGTAAATTATTATTTTATTTTTTTATTATGTCAAAATGTATATTGTTTGTTTACTTTCAGAAAATTAATATTTCTTTAAATGATCTTTTGTTTTCGACTTTTCAATATCCTCACGCCCCCTCGTATAGTTATTACGCCCTCTAGGAGGGCGCAGCCCACAGTTTGAGAAACGCTGCCTTTACAAGATGACTTACATGGTCCTCGATCTGTCCCAGTCCATCAGGAGGCATCAGGAACAGTAAAAGATTAAATTATTTGATGCATCATATTATAAATACATCACACATTAAACCAAAATATACCATTGAAAGACTTGCTTTATGTGATATCAATAAGACATAATTCTAAAACAATTTAGAAGCTTTAACCTGACATCACTCTCGCGAAAAAATCGACCGAAAGTTCTCGCGCAGGGTATCCCACACCCACGGGTGTTTACATTCAGTTTTTAAGGTAAAATTTGTATATAAAAGTTAAAAAGGAAGAAAGGCAGGAAATACAATATATTTATTACATTTTTCACACTTGAATTTAGTTTTGCTGTTCTTTTTATAAGGGCATTCAATACATTGTTTATGCACTCCTTTCATCTCGTCGTGAGTGAATGCGATGTTTTCACTGGATCTTATTTTTTTTAAATCTGTATCTTTTTAAAACTAAACATATAGGAGTAAGCTTCTCTATTCTTTAAATTCAAAATTTTAGAATGTCTTTTTTATTATCTCTTATTGTTCCAGCAACAGTTTTTTTTCTAAAGTGGATAAGATGTGTACCTGTTATCTCCTTTAAAATTACTTTCTTCCCAAATGTTTTTATGTCTCTACATATAAAACATTTATTTTCAAGAGTGTCTCCCTCTTCTAAATCTGGATCGATTTCAGCGGAGGGATCATACTTGCTGTAATACTTTTCACCATTTTATTTTTCCTTATCATCACCTCAAATAGACTTCCTTCCTCCAAAAATATTGTTGTACTATATCTATTAAACATTATATCATTTAAATTACTTAAATATCACATTTCTTCATCATAACTACAAAAATTAGCCATAGCATAAGGAAGATATAAAACGTGCTCATGCATTTAGAACTGTAACGGTGATTCACGCGCAGGGTATGACATAACTGAAGAGACAGTATCCAAAAATATACATTTAGAATTCTCCTGCAAACTAAGGCCCCTGAATGGATAGGACCTTAAAGTCAGCTACACGATAAACTATCCATTTTCCAAAATGGGCTTAGAAGGAAGGACATTGAAAAAAATTAGACGGTAAGTATGATACACCCTACGAGAGATAATTAATATGTATTGATATCTTTATTAATGTGATATATATAAGTCTTTGGGATCAAAATAGTTTTTTCAAAAATGAGCAAATCAAATTAGAAACTTAAGTCAAAACAATGTGTTTAAACAGATTTCTCCATTAGTTCAATGCATTTTTTACGATAATTAGTTTTATCTTAATGAAATATATTTATCTCTTTTCTCTCTCTCTCTCTCTCTCTATATATATATATATATATATAATTTTCTTCACATAATAATGGAAAATTTATTTTTCAGAGTTTCAACAGGTGCATTGTTAATTTTTTGGTTTCAAAATTATATTTATTAAAAGATACAAAGAAAGGAAAATCAAGTTTAAATCATATTACAACCTATGTTTCCTTTATCAAACATTTTATATTTTAAAATCCATTAAAAAATAGTAAATTCCTTTAAAACAGCTTACCACCCATTCAATGCATTTAACATTTTCAAATAACCTTAGCAAAAGAAAAATGAAATCTAATATATCGTTCCATTAAATTCTACATTACAAACGCATTAAAGTTTATTTATATTTCATCGCCCACTAAATAAAAAAATAAAAATTCTTCTCTAAGCTTACTTACAATCCCATTAAATTTAAGTAAAAAATATTCTTTCCCATCCAGAATAAAGAAAGTTGTCTTTGAATATAAAGCTCTTCCTTTTTTCAAGCTTTTTATTACAGACTTAAGAACTAAAAAAACTGTTTGAATAAAATTGAGAAGACTGATGCTTGAAACTCATTTTTTTTTCCTCTAAGCTTTGAGTTCTTTAAAACCTACGTTATTTCTATCTTCAATCTTTACTGTAAAAAGATTTCAGCTAAAGGTCAAGTTTGCCTTATGGTAAAAGGTATATTTTAAAAACAAGTAACATGCAAAGAATCTTTTATCCATAAGCAAGGAAACCTCTTCGGAAGTGTACATCCTTTACTGATTCCTTACGAAGTTTTTAAATCCCCAGATCAGGGGAGATTCCTTGACAAAATAGTTTATGAAATGTTTTGCCTCGATACCAATGAGTCTTAAAAAGTATGCCATAAATTGATATCTTGAAAGCCCAACATTTACCAAGTTATAGTGAAATGTTAAAAGGACTTGATACCCCAAAAATGAATGACGTATCGTTTTTTTTTTTTATTTTTATATAATCTTATTCTTTGCATTATTATCTTTCGATTGATATATCATTTGTGCAAGTTTGAAAGTTAGAAGTTGAAGAACACTTCATTTGAAAACAAATTAAGCAATTCGCCCACGTCCCTTTTTTAGAAAAAAACAGCTTAAAAAAGCGTTATGATCAAAAAATGTGTTTTATAAAGAGAAATAATAACTATAAAAGAAGAATGTGTAATATATGAAGCAGAATATTTTAGAGACAATACATAAATGTTTCTTCTTTGTGAAATGTGTGCATGTAAAATTTTTGAATTAAGGCATTAAATATTAATAATTTCATAATTTCAGTTCTTGTTCCTGATATGTTTTTCATACAAATGTAATACTTCAATATTATGTGAAGAAAAAAACTAAACTTTCAGTCGTGACAGAAAAAAAAGAAAATGTGTAGGTGTACTTATGTTCACACGTAAGAAGTTATATTTCTTTGGCGTAACAAGATTAAAATCTTTCTAAAAATTTTTTGCAGGGCAAGCTGAGCGAAGGACGAAAGGCGGTCATGAGCAGAGTTGAATGATACTAACCTTCAGTCAATCGGACCAGCCAAACGTGAGATAATCACGATTTCTAACCAAAGCATTTTCGTATTCGTTCCTACGGAACGCAAAGCAAAGTTTAGGTATAGCGAGGGTATAGCTCAGTGGTAGAGCATTCAAATGCAGTTCGAGTGGTTCCTGGTTCAAACCCGGGAATCTTCTTCTTCAGGGAAGTGAAGAGAGAGTTTTTTTGGGGGTTTGAAGGGGAATGATCTGTCCCATTCTGTATATTTCTAGACAAAGCATTTTCGTATCCGTTCCTACGGACCGCAAAGTAAAGGATCTCTGACACGGGGTGTATTGCTCAGTGGTAGAGCATTCGACTACAGATCGGGAGTTCTCTGGTTCAAACCTGGGTGCCCTCATTTTTAAGGAAGTGAAGAGAAATTATTTTTTTGAGAATTTCGAAGGTGGTAATGATGTGTTCCGATCTGTATATTTCTAGACAACGCATTTTCGTATACTTTCCTACGGAACATAAAGCAAAGACTCGCTGACCCGGGTGTATAGCTCAGTGGTAGAGCATTCGGCTACAGAACGAAAGGTCCCCGCGCGGTTCAAACCCGGGTGTCTCTCTTTCAGGAAGTGAAGAAAAATATTTTTCTTACAACTTCGATGGCGGGAATGATTTGTTCCGTTCTGTATACCTCTTGTCAAAAGATTTTCGCATCCGTAACGGTGTGCGTGCGTATTGTAAAAATTTACCCTCATTCCCTATTTCTCTAACGCCTCAAAAGTAATATAACTTCAAAAAAAATTTAACATTTTTCTTGAACTTTTTTGTGCAATTAATACCTTCTTTAAATTGATCATTTATAAAAATGTATTAGTTGAAAAAATACGAAAATGCACAATTATATTTTCAAAACAATATATAACTAATATCTTAAAGTGGTATTTCAAGTTTATTTAAGCTTATAATATTTTTTCAGAATTATAAACTTTAAAGTGGTTTTTCACAGTTTGTGTTTTTCGAAACATGAGTGCATTCAAAATGCTACTCCTTCCACAATTATTTTTTAATCACTTCCATTTTTTTTTGCTGTGTGTTGCATAAAAAGCATGTAACATAATTAGAGATCCATTTTGTTTTAAAGTGAAAACTTTTTTTTAAAAAAAATTAAAATGTAAGAGATATAGGCTCTTTCGTTGATTTTTAGCATGTATATCCACATTTTATTTTTTTCCTCAAAAACGAATTAAGTTATTGTAAAATCGATCCCTAAAGTTGTTTATAACAGCCATTAGAATATTACAAAACATTTCAGTTTAAAAAATTAATAATCACAGAAGCAGTAGGATTTTAAAATTTTCCAAATTTTCTTTAAAAAATTTAAATTTTTAGAAGTGTGTGAATAATAGATGAAAAATTTCATTTCGTATCATTTTCTGAAATAGAAACACTATATAAAATGTTAAAATATAATTTTTAAATACATAAAGAAAGTAGCTCAAAGGGTACCAAGTCTTCTTAATAGTTTAAAAAAAAATTGTTAATAACTACCGGTAAAGTGGTACTCACCCGAAGTTTACTTTTACACATTTCTTTGTCTTTGATCAGGAAAAATGGTAGAAATACTCATTATTAATATCTTCTACGAAATAATTATTCTTCATTATAAGCCTTCCATTGTAGAATCATAAAAAATGGCTTACATTAATGCTTCTCAAACTTTCAATATTAGCGAACCAATTTTCAACCATAATTTTCATCGCTCTCCCCTTATACAATAACATTGTATTGAATCCGATAAAAATGTATTTTGACGCTAAGGCTACAATAAGACTTTAATTATAAATCGTACAAATTACAAATATAAGTAATAATTTTGTATTTGTAAAGCTTATGGAAGGTGCTTGTAATTATTAAACTTGATTTTAATTTATTATTTATAAATTAACTATAAAAACATTTTACAGTACTGATACATGTATAAGTATATTACATCAATGTAAAAGTGTTTTTAAATTTTTTGATATCGGAATGTATTTTGTTTTGCTTCTTGTTACTAAATTAATACTTATTTTAAATAACCTCTCTTCGACTTTTCGATATGCTTGGGTCCCCCATATAGGGATATTTCATTTTCATAGAGTCCTCACTCCATATTTTGAGAAACGCTTGCTCACACTATTACTATTAATAATATAAATGAATTGGATATTTTACCATTGAGGGGAAAAAACTTTAGAGATAATCTATTCGATTAATCAGATTTTTGCTTATGTCGCAGATTGAAATGTCAGAATGGTTATTAGTTACAAAATTGGTAGTTTGGGACAAAATTAAGGAAACGAACATGATAACTGATCTGACATCTTATTTTGCAAATTTCCGTAAGAATCCATCATTAGGATGTGAACCTCGACAAATTAACATGTATTACCCCTCTGCCACTGGTTCATTACTTTATTATTTATTTATGTCACATTTGATGCTACATGGTACACTCGGTCTCACAATCTCGTATCTGCAATTATTTTAGTAGAGTTAAGGGTTCGGATCCCAGCAACACTAAATATTACCATGCACAGAAGCTCATGTACGAGGCTCTAAGTCTTCACGTTGCAGGCTGTTGATGATAGTAGAGTGGGATTCCAGGTGATGTGTCGTCGTTGACGGTAATTCAAAATTACCGAGGTTTGCAGTGTCCTGTCTCGCGTTGGTTCGCAGTACGAGAACAACAAAATAAACAATTGAGAGCTCAATGAAGCTTTAGAGAGATAGTGATGTCATATTACGTAATTTTGAATAAAGGTCTAGAGTGAAGCGGATGACGATGTTAACAGGAGGACTTATAGTCTGAGCGAAATTAATAAATAATCTCTCCATTGGATGACAGGTAAGGGTACCAGGACAACTTTACTACCACTACTTTATACCTTAAGGCAGTGGCTCTTAAACTTTTGATCACCCAACTCCCCCTCCACCTCTTTATGTAGTAGTCTGATATTGCGGGGTGGCCGCGGTAGCCGAGTGGTATAGGTATCGGATCGTGGCTGGCATTGTCACGAGTTCGAGCCCAGTATCACTAAAGACCATCCATGTAGGGCAGTCATGCACGCTAAATCTGTCGAGAGCTGAAACGTCTTCCCATTGGTGTGGCGTGGTTGTTAGGAGAGGAGGGTTCCAGCTCACAGGTGTCATCCACGTCACTTGACAATGGTTCAAAATTACGTGGTCCGTCGCCAAAAGCCCTTGTGTAGCTAAACAGTGCGACGTCAATATTCACTCACTCACTCACTGACATCGTGGGACCTCAAGATTTTAAAGCCCCCTCCCCTTACTCACAATGCTGAGTGATTTTAAAGTTCCTCAATAACCAAATGACTTTCCCTGCTACTAACGCATAATTTTTTTAATAAACTTCTTTTTCCTTTAAGGCTGTTTTCGCCATATGTAAGACAGTGTGAACTTAAAGCGGAGCACATTTTCGGAAAGAAAAAATGCCTCATTTTTTATAAAATCTGTGACACTGTAACTCATGCATTTGCTTATAATATGGTGTTTTTAAAATTTCAAAATAATTCATAAGTAATCCGTTTTTCCTTTTAACATCTAAAGGGATAGCTCTTTTAGTATTATGTTATAGGATAAAATTGCGAAACACATTTTATAAAAGAAAGAATGTATCAACTTGGATAAAAATGAGTAGTAAGATAAAATAACTGATTCTCTATAGTATAGAGTGAAGCCAGAATATAATATTACTGTTTGAGTACTTTTTTATCTGAAAAAAAATATTCCAAATTTGGCTCCTATTATTTAACATTAGCCGAAGACAGCCTTAAGGAAACAATAATCTAAATAAAGTATTACAAAATACCTATTTAATGCTAACTGAATTAATATTCTTGATCTAAATACATGTTCTAGAAAAGAATTTCATTAAGGGACATTTAATGATCCTGTCTATGATGGCATATATATCTTTCAATTTTTACGAGGCCTTTCAGAGTCTATTTAAGATGGAAATCTTAATATTACATGAGCAATCATCGTGAACCCCCAGAAAAGTGCTAGGGACCCCCGGGTCTGCGGATCACAGTTTAAGAACCGCTGTTTTAAGGGATCCACTACCGTATCACGACATTAATTCATAGGCTTCTATGTCTGCAGAAACATATTTAAAAAGTTATAGCTAGAGCTAGAGCTTCATTGAATTAGAATTTTCATGCAAGTTCCAAAATCTTCGCTTCTAAATTCCATTTATCTAGTTGTAAGAAATTCAAAGAAGATATACAGTTATCGCAGTTCATAATGAATGAAAAAAATCATTATATCTGTTAATTAGTAACTACATCGCCACAAGCATCTTAAGTTTATAAAAATCCCTCTTCTTTCATTAAAATGTATTTATCTTTGTCAAAGAATTTGTATAGAAAAAATATCACAAAAGTACTCGTTATAGAAGCTTCATATTTTTTTAAAAGTTTTTAGTATTAATTGGAGACTAGAATGAAATAAAAGTAACTAATTACTCAGAAGAAATATAATTAAGTATTGATATATGCTAAGCTTTATTAAGAAATTACCCAATACACATTTGCATAGCATGGTTAATGCATTTTTTTTTTTTCAAATTAAATATAGCACAGATTTTTGATGATTATTAAAAAAATATTAAGAATTATTTCTACCACATAAGGCAAATTTATGTATATTAAAAAAATATTCTGACTTAAGTCATTATTGTAATACATTCTAAAGAATGATATACATACAGTATCAATACGTATATATATAACACATGCAAAAGAAAATTACTTACATAATTGTGCGTTATTATAGCTGTTTTATACATAGTGGGATATACTCCCAATATTATTATATCACACAAAACTACCAAAGTTCTGCTCTAAAACAGCTGTTTTTCTAATCCTAATCTCTTACTTACTTATTGAGTATGTGAATAGTTAAATATTTCCTTGAAATTCTTGAAATTTAAATTTTATATTATATTTTCATTAAGGAGTTTTTTTATATTAATGATATCTATTAATTATAAAACTAAAATACTTTAATTTTTTTCTTTATTATTCATAATGTACGTTTTATTTTCAGAAACAACAGTGACAATAATTTGAAAATGAATTGAGCAATTTCGAACTTATAAATGTTATATATAATTTTATGCCCATTTAACAGAAATTGATCTAAA